CTGGCTGATGTGGTCTAGGGAAGTCATGGGTGCATTACAATGTCTCTGTGCGAAGTTGATGTGTTATCGTTTTTGGCTTGCCTTGATCTTGTGACCGGAGTTCCCTTCCCACCAGTTCATGCACAGCTGCCAGCTTGGCCAGTGATATCAGCGTTTGGTGCTTCTTCTTGCAATGGCCACGGGCCGGAGACTCGTTTTGTGGACTGCTGGCTTGAATGACGACATAGGTGGACCTGGGAAGGTGACAGAAGCGGCAAGATTTCAGTCTCCCTGCATTGGTGCCCTCGTGTTGGCAATGCCTGGTTGGCCAGAAGACATCACAAGATCTTCTTCCAAATGTCCGTCCGTCACAGGCCAGGGAGCGCGCTGGACGGCTGGGCGCGGGAGGACCTTGCTTTCAGACATGATCAACCCTAAACCCTAAACCCTAAAATGTCGCTGCTGCGCATGAATTGAAGTTGGGAGCTGCTGTGCAGGAGTTGAGTCCCTCCATCGCGTGGAGTGCAGCCGTGGGCTCGAATGTCCGGATTGCACCTTTTGGGGCTTTGACGTTACACTGCCAACCACTGCTGTGGTTGCCAGGTCTGATTTCCAGACGACAACAGGTCATAGATGAGACAGCTCCGCGATTTGTGATATGATATATATATATATATGATATATAGTGTGCGTGTTGGTAGGCCGCCTCGTGTTAGAGTGGGCAGCTGTCTTTGGTCCCAGCTCTGCAAGTCAGCCGTTTCAGTCCTTCCTTTCGGTCGTTGCTTCCCGATGGCCGCTGAAGGTGAGAACGACGTCGCAAGGGAACCCAGCAGATCGCGACAACTTCGCCACTGCCTTGGCTTTTCCATGAACTTGCAACCTCAGACATTTGGTTGACAGCGGGGCACAACTATGCACGACAACGTCAAGATGGCTTGCACGCCTTTAACCATGTTCCCGTAGCAGAGTATGCCGAGTCTCTGGGATCCCAGGACATAACGTCTGCCACCTATCGGCACATCGCGCGCCTCAACGCACTGCGCAGGGCGTACTTCGCCGGTTTCGGGCCCGGTGCTTGGCTCTTCACTGCCTCTTCTGCACATATCTCCAATGACAAAGCTTTGGTGCAGGAGTGCCGCCTGCGATCAAGTCGGAACACCGCTGCCTCAAATCGAGGACGTGCACAGAATTCTTGGCTGGCCGGGGCTCCTCTGCTGCCGGGTGTGACACAAGGGCCTACACCGCAGTGCGGTGTCACCAGGACCTCCTGATTTTTTGGCGTGGATGCGATGTCCAAGGCGCCGACATTTGGCGAGGAAAGTTCCGAAACCAACGGTGTGAGTGATTGTGGATGACCCTGGCCAGCCATACTCTTGCACATATAGTTACATAGCAGACGTACATGATTGCTGAGACTTGCCATCGAGAGAGCATAGGCCCTTGTCTCAAAGACTGGGCTTCGGGAGGCCGTGTAACGGTCGTCGCCAACTTTCACACGGAGGAGCTCTGGCTTTGGGCTGGGAAGTTCCGAGGGACCGCAGCCTTTCTTTTGAGGAGCCTCGAACAGCAAGTTTCTATTCTCCCTGGGACGAGGCCCTGGGGGCCCTCTCTGCTCTGAGCCTCTGAACTGCGCCTTAAGACGGCTGCACCCCGAAGGGCACGAAGCTCAAGGACGCGCAGGAAGACTCCAGCCTGGAGGCTCCTTGAGGGCACCGGCGAGCCTCCCTGGTGTTGAAATGGGTTGGGGAACGATTCCAAGCATCCCTTAGCAGCCTTATCATTAACATCCTCCGCTTCATGAGAGCATCTTGTGGATGCGAGCAGGTTGTGGTGCAGAGCAGTGGCTTCATCTCGCTGCTGGTAGCGCCGCTGCAAGCCATGATCTTGGTGTCCGGAGCCCGGAATTCCCGCCCCTGTCGCGTCTGACTGTTCTGCAAAGCAGCTCTACGTCCCTACGCTTCACCAAGGCCCGATACTGTACGTCCCGTCCCTCCGACGGTCGTGGAGGTCTTCCCCAAACACGCTGCGGAGCTGGTGGGGTCCCCAATGACTATCAGGGCTGAAGGCTGCAGCTCTGCCAACGCCTCTGGCACAAGGCCGTTGACCAGAGCTCCAGTGAGAAGCCAGGGCCTCAGCGGGCCCCAGCGCGTTTTCTTGGTGTACAGCTGGTGATGCAGCATAGGATAGGTACAGTGTACAGTGTGACAGGCAGACGTGTCGCAGCCTGACACCGTCCCGAGGCTCAGGGTCAGCGTCCGTTTCGACCGTCCAATGGATCCCTTCGTGGCCTCGGTGGTGACGCTGGATGGCCGGCCGGGTCTCTTCAGCTGCCTGGCGGAATCAACTCTGGGGGACCGGGGCGCAGGATGGTGCAGGAATCTGTTCCGTTTTTCTAGCTGAGAAGAGCTGACCGTCAGCAGTCGAGATCCAAAAGCTGTCGTTGAGCTCTGCACCCTTCGCCGTTGGTAGTGACCGAAGGCTGTGCGGATGCAAGCTGCCAGGTGGGCATGCGGCACATGCAGTGACGTTTGTAGTCTGATGAGCGTCCGGAAGTTAGTGGCTTCTTGCAGGCCGCATTTTTGGAGCTAGATGGCGTGGCTGCACTTGCGGATGGCTTCCACGAAGCCAGACTCCCGACCTTTTATTTGACTAGTGTTGTGCCGCCGCTCATCCAGTCCGAAATATGTCGGACGAAGCTGGGATGGGCACCACTTGAATCGGGCTGCAGGTGGCCGTGCCATCCGGTGTGAAGGCCGCTGATGGACAGGAGGGAGCTGCGACTGTGATGGCAAGACGCGCTTTGGGCATAAAGTACGCGACTGGACCAGAATCTATTCAGCACCAGTGGCTTGCAGGAGCTCTTTGCGACCTTCCGCTCCAGCTTTTTAGTGCCGCACCAAGCAACCCGACGAATTGCGAAGTTGAAAGCCCAAAGCATCTGGACCGTGTCGCGATGAAGAGAGCTTCGGAGGTGCACCGCGGGCGTGACGTGATTGCGGACCCGCAGATGTCTGGCTCTTGGCTTTCAAGTTTGATTGGTGGCGTCCTGCAAGATTTGAAGCCTTGCCTGAAGTGAGGCACGAGCAGCCGGGGCTAGTTTGTATGGACTTTGGACATCTTTGCCATGAGGCCTCGGTCTCCGTGACTGCAGACTCATGTTGAGCACATGCTTGGTATATCTCGGTGTCGCCGAGCGGTCCAGGCATCGGGGGCCAAATGGATGAGGCCCGTCTGCGCTTTCAGGGGTACTTGGCAGCTGCTCTGGCGCAGATGCGCCGCGGTTTGGCCAACCCTGGACGCAGGATGCAGAACGTGCGGCAGCATAGCAAGTGGTCTGAGCCGCTTCCTCGGCACGAGTAGGGCACGGAGGGCAGAGCACGAAACAGCTACATCAGACATCAGACAACAGCAAGGTGGGTTCCATATCAGAATGTGAGCGACTGGCCGGTCTACCCGGGTATCCCGGTCCTGGTACAGTACCATGCCCGGATCTCAAGCGGGAGAGCTCCAGGGATTGGCTGCACTTCAACTTCAGCCGTGAAGACGCATTCTTCAACAAGATATTTTTTGGTTTTAAACTCTTTAGGGTTGTACTAGTGGGGCAGTGCATCTGTGAAGAACTTGCCAGGCTGGATCCAGTAGCAGCTACATCGTTGGCGACTGCGTTCTGGCAGATGGGATGCGCTGCCATGCTAGCGAGGGGCTTGGCCTTGGCCACCGCCGAAAGTGCTCCATTGAATTGAAAGTAGGATATTTAATTTAAAAATCATATAAATATAAATGTAAAAAGAAATACATAAATTAAAAAAACTTTTTATAAATAAATAATGAATAGATAAATAAATAAATAAATATATATATACACACATACATACATACGTATATATGTATGTATGTATATATATATATATATAAAAGCCATATTATATCAGACCTGTTGTCAGAAATACATATATCTCCGTTTCCATTGAGCTTCAAAGCCAGTGCAGAAGGCAGCAGGCCTGCGTTTTCGGCGTCCTCCTGTTGGGATAGTTAGGGGCAAAGTTGCAGCATAGCCGATGACAAAAGGCTGGCACGACGAGATGTTCTTGCGCGGGGATTTCAACGGGCCGGAAGCTTAGCTTTTTGCCGGAAGGCGAATCTCGAGGTGGCCATCAGACCTGAGTGCACTGTCATGCTTTGCCAGGTGGGGTGACATCCAGGACGGTCGTATGCAACGGGTCTTTGTCCTGGACATGAAAGCAGAGATGTTTCAGCGTTGTTTGCGGCTGTGAAGGGGGAGCATTAAACCAAACAGCCCTGTTTCATCTGTAGGTCGGCCACTTCACATGGGCAGCAAACATCACACTCTCGCGGTTCTCCCGGGCCAAGTTTGCACCGCAGAAGGCCCGCAACCGTTTGAATTCTAGACAGTTCTTGGAGCATCATGTCTTATGTCGAGTCATTATTGGTGAAGAATCGCGATGTTTTGTCAACATTTGAACATTCGGGGTCGTTTCGTGGGACGGGGGGAGCTTGGTTCATCTGCGGAATCAAGACTCGCAAGGGCCAGTAGCAATCAATAGTGTAGTACTACTACGGCCGCACATCTGCGGTGATACCCGGCAACATGCGGGGAAGGCCCTCGGTCTGCACTGGAAGTGAGGCGCAGTAGAAGTCTTGTTGACACACAGTTAGAGCAAGACGCAAACCATGCCTGCAGTGCGTAGTCGTTCTGTGCATTACTCGCCGAATTTTTCTCTGCTTAAGTGTATGTAGGGGAGGGAGGGAGGGAGGCAGGGAAGCAGGCAGGCAGGCAGGGAGGCTGGCAGAGCAGGAAGGTACGTAGATAGGCGGGCAGATAGGTAGATACGTTTGCATTTATTGCTCATGTATGCTGCATTGCATACGAGCATAAAGAGAAACTTAAGACGTACACATGTGTATACAACCTTGCGTATACATGTACATACACACACACACGCAGCACACGCATGCAAAGTACAAATACCTTGCGGCGGATTACATGTACGCTTACACATACATACGTAGGGATGCAGATACAGACGTGGACATACAGATAGGTATAGACGTAGATATAGACACAGTTTCTTGCAGCACCGTCTCGCGGCATTGTCCCTCGCAGCCATCGCACACCCGAAATCGGTGCCGCCAGGGCTGGTCGAAGTCGTACGGGGCCAGGGCCCCAGACATCAGGCGCTGTCCTGCAGAAACCCCTCTGACGGTGTACATCTCTCTTCTCTCTGTCGGTACATCCATATAGCCCAAAGATGATGTGAGATCGGCTGAAGCTCGGCCGACCTCCATGATTCGCCCTGCTTCTGGGGTTTGACCGAGCCACTACTTATAAAACACGCTCTAGGTGTACTTCTGCGTCGTGTAGCGATGTCCAGCCGGAATCAGCGGGAAAACCGGTCGACGCTGCTTGGTCTCTCTCGGTCCCGGTCCTTGTTTCATCATGGTTGCTAGTGCAATGCACAACACTGTTATAACATGGGCCTCCTCCCGGATCTCGTCAATTCACACATGTGCTCTACCTGCTCGACCAGAGACTCTCAGCGCACAGGCCGAGTCCTGCGCCCGCCTTGAAATGGCCCAGGTCCATCCAAGGCGGCCGCTGCTCTATGCCCTGCCGACCTTCGATCCCAGGTCCGGCCTGGGCTTCGCTTCAAGACGAGCCTTTTGCATTCGTAATTTATGGTGTCAAGGCTTGGGGTTTTGGGTTTTGGGGTTTTGGGGTTTGGGGCCGTTTAGGGTTCAGGATTTAAGGTTTAAGGGTTTATAAGGGTTTAGGGTTAGGGCTTAGAGCTTCGGGGCACACAAACCGTGTATGCGTCGCCCCAACTTTCCAGACCAGCCCTGCAAACAGCACGCGCTTAGTTTCCACGTGGTCTCTTCTCTTCTTCGGCAGGTTCACCAACTTCCAGTATGACCCGCTGATATCAGGCTTGGAGTATCTTGCACAAGCAGGGCAGCATTTTGCTCTCTCCCTCTCGCTGTTCAGGACGAAGTCAGACTGTAAATGCAACAACCACTGATGGATATGAACCTCTCCCCTCTGCCTGCATGGAGTCCAGACCGCACAGACTATCTCAGGAACAGATGCCACCCGACAGTGGATGGTGCAGTGCGACTCTCGGAGTCTTGACTTCCTTTTTTTTTTCGTACGTTTATTCCGTTTCGAGGAAGGACTTCTGGTCAGCGGAGGAGTCTATGGCTTCCGGCGCAGAGTTTGCACGGGACTCAGGGACTTGCACCGGGATCTGCTGCACCACGTCACAGTACATTGAGCACGCAGAGGGATTCCAAGCTTTCATTGGCGTCGCTTTCAGGCCAGCGAGCTATGGATCGGGTATCAGCAGACAACCCAGATTTGCCATTCCATTTGGGTAGGACGTCTTGCGAAGCTTGGTTGGCTGACATGGACCGCAGATGCCGCTTGCGAGGTGCACGGCGGAAGAACCGAAGTGCCCCGTGCCATCGCAGGACTCGAACAAGTGGAGGCCAGGGGGGTCAGGGGGGTTGGACTTGAGTCCGAGCAGAGTTCGAGCTGGTAGCTGCACTCAGCCTTTGGACGACAGGTGCTATGGGTTCTCCAGTTCGCAGGACCGTACATGTGGCGATTCTCTGCAGCAAGTCCGCTTTTGGGAAGCGCTCTTGCCGCCATGAACACTTGAATGCTGTTTCACCGCCGGCGCAGGACTTGAATTGGTGCCGAAGTGTTGGCACCGACGACTGCCTGCGACTCATGCCACGGTCGCATCAAGCCACGTGTGGCACCACCGCAGGGCATCAGGCCTAGGACAGCTTCAGAATCCATGGAGGCAAAGCAGATAAGACATGCCTTCCGAGCTTGATGCCTAGAGTACATTCGATGCTCCGCATTGCATGGTGGAGGTTGGGAGTATGCGGAGAATGATTGGTCTTCGTCGATGTCCGACTGCTCTGGATGCCCGATGCTCAGGGACGGCAGCGGATTGCAAAGGAGGTCCAGATAAGTTGTAGTTCTGGTGCGCAGAGTTGTAGTGTTGGGCTTAATGGAGAATGGCTACCTATTACCTTCAACTTGATGTCTTGCAGGTTCGTGTTGTCGCCGGGCGGCCTCCCCGAACCTGGAAGGGTTCGGGCCCTGGAAAGAATTGGGCAAGGCAGAGGTATCGAGGAAGAATTCGTGGAATGCTGGCTTGCTGGGGCGTCCTGCTCGGCGAAGGCCCAGGTCCACGTGCTGCGTCTTGTTCAACGACCTGACGCTGAACTACACCATCACCTCGGACCTCACTCGCTGCGCTTCTTGGTGTTTGTTGTGCCATGATGCGATGCGGGCTGACGGTGATAGCAGTCACAATGAACGGATTGGTTTACAGAGGTCCCTGAGCGCGCTACGCGGAGTGTGCCGACTCACCTCCCGGGCCCTCTTTTCGTTCTCAGGCAACTGCGACGGTGCTGCAGCTTCCGGAAGCCGAGCGCATCAAGGTCTCTGGGACGTGATGAGTCTTTATCCTGGCTGTTTTTATGGGTAGTACGTACATGGCGCACTGCCACAACACGTAAGTTGACTCCCATCCACTCCGGCCCAGTTTGAGACGGGAGAGTGAGCAGTGCCCGGCTTGTCGTTGCAGCCTGTCGTTCATGGATCCAAGCAGTGGAAAGATCCGTTCGAAGTCGTCGAGCTTGTTGACTTGCCTCTATCCGCCGTGCCGACAGGATGTGGCGAGGCCAAGTGTCAACCAGCTCCCGACTCAGCTAGCAGTCTGATCGGATGGGGGGGTATGGGGATTGAGTATGGGGAGTGGTATGGTATGGTGTATATATATATATATATATATAAATAAATAATATCTATCTATCTGTCGATCGATCTATCTATCTATCTATCTATCTATCTATATATTACATATACATATATACGTATATACATATACACATATATACATATATATAATTACATATGTGTACATGTATATGTGTGTGTATGCATATATATATATGTGTGTGTGTATACGGAACCATACATACATACATACATACATACATACATACATGTATACCATGTAGAGGATTGCGTACGGGGAAAGGAAGCAACGCGCGACCCAAGGCCCACTCTGGAATGTGCACCCGGAGCGCAGCCAGAGCCGCTGCCTGAGCTCCTGTTGTCATCGCTACTCTTCTTAGCAAAAGGAACCCGCTTGGATGCTTTCGTCTCATTTTCGTTGTTGTTCTACTGGTTTATTTTTTTAGTGGTGATAGTTGTCTCAGTAGCAGGAGCTGCAGATTAGTCACTGATTAGTCACGATCGGCAGGCACTAAAGTCACTAAAAGAAGAACTGCAAGCACGACCAACAGGACTAAGCAGTGAAAGCAACAGCCGGAGCAATGGCCGCAACCACGAAAAAACGACTAGCAAAGAGAGCCGCAACAGTCAGCAGAAACAGCACGAACAGTAGTAGGAATATGCAAGATCGTAGCCGTGCCAGTGGTGGTCAGAGGTAAGCCTGATGCGCGTTGCAATCGTGACAGAGGCAGCAGTAAACGCAACCATGGCAGAGTTTAAACATTCGTAATGACAGGCAAGTTCGCACTCGACATGGATGAGTAGCTGTAGTTATGATAGCTTTCAAAACGGGCTCGATAGTCATTTGAGTCCTAGTTGTTACAACTCGGAAGCGTACTGACGTATATTTCGTTATGCAAGTGAATGGGTGATTGAGTGCGTGCGTCCGTCCGTGCGTGCGTGCGTGCGTGCGTGCGTGGGTGCGTGCGTGCGTGAGTGAGTGAGTGAGTGAGTGAGTGGGTGAGCGCTTTGCTGAAGTGCCATCCGTTCCGGCATCTACACAGCGCTGAAATTTCAACGAGTGCAGTACGGTGTACGGTGATGCGTCGGAAGACTCACAAGTAGGCAAAGTCAGACGTCAAACCCGAAGCAGCTACAATAGAGTGTCAGATACGTGCAAGAGTGGTCAAGCAACCATCACATTGCATGTCCTTAGACCTCTTGCAACATGGAGGTATCATAGCAGAAGTAAAAGCACAATGCGATTGCATAAGACAGTGTCAACAAGAGCAGTGCAAGCAGCTAGGGAGAACAAGTGTCGTCGTCGTCGTGGCTGCACAAGCAGCAGCAGCAGCAGCAGCAGCAGTAGCCATGGCAGTCGGGGCAGGTAATGCTTGCAGTGATGATCGGTTTGGTGGGGACAGCATCAACCAAACAAATTTAGCATTCGTAATGATTGATGGGAGTGATAAGTATTGAAAGGGCCCAGTGAGTGGTTACCATTTCGAATGGCGCCGAAGGAGGCATCTTGCATGGTTAGGTGGAGCCCCCAGCTGACCTTATGCCAGGCCCGAAGCCATGGATGCTGGTGAAGAGTCTGCCGCGGTGCCCGAAAGCCTTGAGGACACATCGATTGAATGCCACAAAGACTTGAAACAAGACACTCAACACCTGTCCAGACTTCATTGGCAGCCGAATGCTCTCAGGCGAGACTGGTGTTTAACAAGAATCTTCATTTTCGAAGCTGGGAAGAGATGCTTGACACCGTGCAGACGTGTAGAAAGGACGGGGCAACTGTGGAAGAGACGGTGGCGTGGAGCCGTGCAAGGCTATCACAGGCAGAACGAGAGCTGGGAGCTTGGCATCCAGGTGTTGTCATTGCTAGTATTGCTGGTCAGCTCCAGTCAGTGTCATTGCAGTTGTGGTTGTCGTCTATGGTTGAAATTGCCATCATGCTTGCCAGCAAACGCTTCCGGCGTGACGTGTGCTTGCACGAAGCGCAGCCGCGTTGCTTACAGTGGTGGCTGACAGCAGCACTGGCAGACCATGAGTCTTTTCACCGACGAGCCGCTCGGAGCGAAATCTCACAGGCCAAGCCTGTTTCCGAGTAACGTTAGACTCGCTTGTAAGAGAGTGTCTTGCTTTTCAGAGAGTATGGACAGTACAGACTCATAGAGACGGTCAAGACCAGGAACCTGGAGCCGCCACGTGTTTTGGGGCCACCGGTTAACGCCCCCCCAAAAGAGCGCCAAAGGAAGACCTTCCGGGCCCGCCTGGACAAGGCCTTGGAAACCGTGGCGCGGGTCTTGGAGGCTGGGAGCAGAATTTATATAGAATATAGTATAGATCACGGTCTTCAGGGTTCTCTGGTGGCCTTTAGGGTTCCAGGCACTTTGGAGTTGTAGGGGATTTGGGCTTTTGGGGTTTGGGAAGTGGGCTTGAGCCTCGGATCGCTCCTTCAGGCATCAAGGCGGCCAAAGGCGGCTGCAGATGTGTGGCCCGGCGTTTCATGATGGTAGGGCATTGGTATGGTGCATGTTAAGGGAGGAATTCTGAAAATGGTCTTGGCGGGGATAAGCATTGATAAACAAGGCATGTCGTGCAAGCATATTACCATAGTCAGATGATGAGGCCCAAATACTTCAGCTTGCAATTCAAATAGCAGCATGCAAAGCAGAAAATGGCAAGCGCGCCTGTGCTGAGCATGCACATTATTGCAAGACTAAAAGCAATGATCGGCTTGTGCAGAAGTAGTGAAGATAGGGATGCTACTGCTGCTGCCGCTGCCACCACCTACTACTGCTACTACTACTACTACTCCTACTACTACTGCTACTACTACTACTACTACTACTACTACTAGTCGCCACCCCCCCTCCTACCAACCACCTGGCGCCTCAATCCACCACCATCATCGACCATCATCATCCATCATCATCCTTCATCATGCATCTTTCTTCCACCGCAGTTGAAAGTCCGAGTCTGACCCTCAAGCTAGCGAGCACCATACAAGACGATCTTATCGCCTCGGCCGTTTGAGAACGGCAGGCACGAATGCTCCGTAGAGCATGCACTCCTTGGTTAAAAGCGCCAAAGCCATGTTTCACATGTGGCTGTTCGGTTTAAACAGTTGCGTTCGGCTTACAGCGACGATCCTAGTCATCTCTGGTCTCCACTGACTGGTGAGAATCATATCTGAGCAAAGCCAGCCGAAACTTGGTCTCTGATCAGATCTGAGCAAAGTCAGCTGAAAACTCCAGCTCTGATCACGTCTGAGCAAAGTCAGCCGAACCTCCTTTTCTGATCAAATCTGAGCAAAGTCAGCCGAAACTCCAGCTCTGATCACGTCTGAGCAAAGTCAGCCGAAACTCCTCCTCTGATCAAATCTGAGCAAAATCAGCCGAAACTCCAGCTCTGATCACGTCTGAGCAAAGTCAGCCGAAACTCCTCCTCTGATCATATCTGAGCAAATTCAGCCGGAAACTCCAGCTCTGACCATATCTGAGCAAGGTTCGCCGAAAATTCCAACTCTGATCGCATCCGAGCGAAGTCAGCAGATCCCCGATGCCGAGCTGACATCTGCAGCTGGGCCCGAAGATGAAGCAGGTGTGAGTTTCAAGTGGGCCAGCTCATGTCCTGCAGGCGTGGTTGATGCGCGACCTCCATGTGCATTCACAGTATCGGCGGCCTGGGAAGAGCTTGAGCGAAAACCACTATCGCCGGAGAAACTGCTGTCATCGGCTGCGCGGTGCATGACAAGGACATACATGGAAACAGATGTATCTTCCGAGATCTGCTCATCCTCTGGTTTTGGATCCGCATCGTCATTCATCAAGTACTGCGAGCTACCACTCAGGACAACAGTGTAGTGACCTGAGCGCGGGCTGGTACCGTGGTGTCTTATGTAAGCACAAATGCGATATGTGCACCAAGCTACGTCAAGGGAGTCCGCAGATGAAAAGACTGGCATCATCAGCTCTCCTGCCATCAAGAATGGTTGATGGTTCTTGCGCACTCGCCCGTTACGGACTGCGAAGCGCGGCAGCTGAAGGAACAGCCACCGCGGTGAAGACTGCAACGCGTGCATCGTCTCCTGATGGTGCCATCGGTTGACGAGCTCCTGCAGATCCGGCGTGGGAGAGGATGGTGCGGGGAGGGCCAGGCACTTATTTAAGGGACCTACGAGTCTATGAGCTACACCTTCCGGGAGAAGCTCGCGGCTGCTCCACATGTGCCCCGCATGCTCCAAAACCTTAGGCAGCAGATAGTCTAAAAACTCTGCGACGTCGTGTTGACGCCGAGCCTCGCGCCACCCCAGCATGAAGAACCCCAGCGAGCGCAAGGCTCGCAACCCCTGTCCGTGGAGGCTTCGCAGGGGCACAGGCAGCAGGCTGAGGCTGCGGGTGAGGGACGCTACGTGCCACAAGGAATACACTGCCGTATTTATGTAGCAGGCGTTACCGTCGTTTGCAAGAGTGAAAGGCGGGAGAGCGGGCTGCACTGAGCTGGCCTGTGCTTGGTGCGACGGTGCCGTCAGCGGAAGGCCATGGCCGCCACTTGCTTGGCTAACTTGGATCGGCCCAGGCCCGCCCTCTTCATGGATGTGCCAATCAACTGCATCGCCGACAACCCGATTAGCCTCAGGAAGTGGTCGAAGACTTCCTCTGCCTTCTGGGTCCTCAGGGACACGGACAGCATGAAGACTGCCTGTGACGGGTACTCTGCCTCCATCTCGAGCAACTTCTGCGTTGAGTGGAATGTGTGGATTATGTCTCCTCTGAGGTGCTGCAGCAAGAAGTCTATCCAAGACAGTAGCTCCGGCTGGGGGACGGCACGGCGGCTTTCGTCGAGCTTTAGCTGCTTTGCCTGCCTGCACCAACGGAAGTACGTCCATTCCTCCGCTTGGTTCATCCATCCGGCACCCTGCAGCTTCTGAATGCCCTCCGGCTCGGATGTCATTTTCGTGATCCTCTCCTTCAGCTGCCTCATGAGACAGGCCAGGAGCACAGTCCGCAAGGGCGATGTCAGCTCCGTATCGCCGGCCGCCTTGCGATCGTTCCAGTCGCGAGAGATCTCGATGAGTCCCGGCAGTATGCTCTCCTCGTCTGTTCGCATGAACAGGATCAGGTTCTTGTCCATCCTGAGTTCGGCGAGCAGGTCTTCCTGTCGCATCACCAGCCTGGCTAGTGTCCGGAAGGCCTCCGGGTCTGCCGGAGTCTTCGGTCCCCGCCCCTGCGGCTTGGGACGACGCTGCTGTGGCGGCCTTTGTGCGTTCCCGTCCTCCGGACGGGGTCGCTTGTTGGGCGCCGC